ACACTCTGCATCCGCTACACTAACACACACTCTGCATCCGCTACACATTAACACACACTCTGCATCCGCCACACACTAACACACACTCTGCATCCGCCACACACTAACACACACTCTGCATTCACTACACTAACACACACTCTGCATCCGCTACACACTAACCCACTCTCTGCATTCACTACACATTAACACACTCTGCATTCACTACACTAACACACACACTCTGCATCCGCTACACACTAACCCACTCTCTGCATTCACTACACATTAACACACTCTGCATTCACTACACTAACACACACTCTGCATTCACTACACTAACACACACTCTGCATTCACTACACATTAACACACACTCTGCATTCACTACACATTAACACACACTCTGCATTCACTAAAAATTTACACACTCTCTGCATTCACTGCACTAACACACACACTACATTCATTACACTGACACACTCTGCATTCACTACACACTAACACACACTCTGCATTCACTAAACTATGCATACACTATGGATTCACTATACTGACACACAATCTGCATTCACTACACTAACATACACTCTGCATTAACTGTACACACAGCATCCACTACACAAACATCCTGTATTCACAGTACACACACTACATCCACCACACATTGAAACACTCTGCATTCACTATACACAGACACTGCGTCTAATACACGCACTACATCCACTAAACACATTTCATCTAGTACATACAAACACTACATCCACTACACAAACACACACTACATCACTGTACACACACTATATCCACTACTCAAACACACTCTGCGTTCACTATACACACTGCATCCGCTACACAAACACACACTCTGCATTCACTGTACAAACAGTATCTAATACACACAAACACTACATCCATTACACATATTCTAATTCACTTCCACTATACACACCACATTCAGTCCTGCATCAATGTCAGCGGACCAGGTAGGGCGTGTGCGGGCCCGGGGGGGCCCAAACCTGGTGCTTTGTCAGGGGCCCCAAAATTTCTGATGGCGGCCCTGCTGCCGCCCATCCCATGTGTTCCCTATTATGGGTTAATAAGTATATGGGGGTGTATATAAAAAATACCCCTCTCTCAGGGGGCGGAGCCAAGCACGCAAACCGAACAGACGTTCAGAGCTGTAGCTCCGTACCAACAAGCCTAAAAACAACAGCTAACCGGGTAAAAAATCACCGGAACACCGACTAGCACCCCACCTACGCAATGGGAAAACGGGCCAAGAAGATCAAAGCAGCCCTGGCATCGGGAACCCGTAATATTGGGGAATACATGCAGGGAAGCCTCCCGCGCGTGGCGCCCAAGATGGCGGACCCACATGCGGAGACCTCATCGGAGGAGGAAGAAACCTCCATGGACGCCCTAGACGAGATCCCACAAGCTGGAGGCCTATATACGGAATCCTCGGACGAGGAGAATAACACCCCGGCCACGAAGGGAGACATTAAATCACTCCTCCGCGACATCCGCAAGATGTTCCAGGCGGACCTTGCAATTCTGAGAGAGGACATGCTCTCACTTACAGGGCGCCTCAAGGCCGCAGAGGAAACATCGGCCCACATCAAAGCCGAGCAAACCACACTTGCCGCAGAGCAGAAACGGCTAACTGCCTCACAAGCAACAATGACACTAAAACTAACTGAATATGAAGACCGCAGCCGCAGCAAGAATATCAAGATTAGGGGTATCCCTACTACGATAGACAAGACTGAACTGCCGCAATACGTGGGGCGCTTGCTCCAGCAAATACTTCCCCACAAACAGGCTAAGAACATCCTGGTGGATAACATATACAGAATCCGCAGGCAGGGCAGACAGCCCCAACAGGCATCCAGCGATATCATTATACAGCTTGTCACACACCTGGACAAAACGGCGATTATGGCAGCGGTCAGGGATTTGCCGTTCCTGGCCTTCGAGAGGCACAACCTGACATTCTATAATGACCTCTCAAAACCCACCATGCAATGGAGGCAAACAATGCGCCCTATCACCAGCGTGCTGAGACGGAAGAAGATCCCGTACCGCTGGGGCACACCACGCTCCCTTCAGATCACCGCGGAGGGGATAACCCATACAATACACTCACCAGAGGAAGGCCAATTGTTTCTGACTCAACAGGGCATCACAACACAGAGGGAATCCAGAAGGGGCAGCCCTCGGAGACCACAATGGGATGTGGACAACATCGCCCCATTTGAACCACGGAGAGACCCCCACCTGCCTGAGGCAAGCCCAGGGGACTAAAAACAGAGACAACCGACGCATGGCCTCGTGAAAGGATGAGACTTAAATCCTGGTTTGGGATACATCAACCTTATACCTTTATGATTAACATATTGGAATGCACAGAAAGTCTAGCATGTTTAAAAGTTACAGGACTTCCTACTAACTCTCTACGATGGCAGGCGCCAGGTGGTAAATGCTGCTACTTTGTTTGTTCGTGCTCTGTGTGGTTACTCTGGGTACATTAACTTAGAATACCTAGTATGTGTACATGTTATATGACTTCCTGCTAATGACCAGAAACTGGCAAGCGATAGGCGATATGGGTCACTACCTTAAGGTGCTTAACTTGATTTTCTCTGCCTAGAATCTCGAATTATATTGTCTATTGTTCACGCATAGGCGCGACCACCCACAGTAACGGCCTAACAAGGCTCTACAAAAGAACCTGCTAAAAAGCGGTTAAACTAAGTATGGGCACCCCTGACGACCACAGTCGGCGGATTGCCTCGGTCACCCACAGCAGATCCCATTGACTGGCCCAATGCCACAAAGGTGGGGGACCACTGTAATGTGCCTCCCTAACGAACTTCACTTAGAAACCTAGTGAATTAGACCACGGCCGGTTACTCACTGTGCTATAACGTGTTAACTAAGCACACACACGCACTATTAAACTGTTACATGGTTATCATCTGCAACCATACTGTGCCTCCGCGTAGGCGAACATGACTTTTTGCTAGAATCTACACAATGTTGACATATAACTTGCATTATGAAAATACAAATATTCCTGCTGTAATAATACAGCTAGATTGGCACAAGCGGGCTCCTGCCCTAGGCGGCGCACCTCTGAGGTCATACCAGCCTATTTAAATGACATCCTCCCTTCTGCCGTAACACCAACCATAGTACCCAGCGACTACACTGCTGACAAACTAATTACAGTTTAGCGTATTCCCTTATCTTGATGTATTATACTCGACTACGTTATTGTCAATCCATATAGTATGTCTCAAACAATTCTACTGTTTTCTTGTTAAGCAACACTATATGCATCACTATGTTTATCTTTATCTTAAAAATGTGCAGTACTACTACATGCCACAGTCTTACGCCTCTTGAAATGTCTGTATTTACTGTTGTGGCATGGCGAGCTTGTCTGTCAAACTTTTGCACAACAAAAATAAAGAATAAAAAAAAATAAAAAATAAAAATACCCCTCTCTGTCTCATTAGAGATATCTTTGCCAGAAGCTCAAGGAAGCAGGCTGAAGGGTCAGTGTTAGGACCCGCTTAGGAGGGTCTGCCTTGACTTTGGCAGGCGGGCATTCCCTCCAATGGCCATTGGAGCAACTAAATGATCTCCATTTGTTTAAATATACATAGGGATTAAGGAGAGAGCACAGGAATTTTATTTTTTATTTTTTTTTCTCCTTTGGTTTTTACTATATATTGGGGCTGATGTGTACTGTAGTCATTGTTGCCGGCCCAGTAGTGATGGGAGTGAATGCAGTACTTATCTTTTTGTATTTGTATATACTTAAGCAGATGTTTTTCATCTATTCACACTCGCCGTCAATCAGACGGTATTGTCGTCCCTCTCTCCCCCTCCCTTCTGCGAC